TGACTTAACTGAGGCAGTGCAACTGGCCCCTGGACGCGACACCTTTCATTGTTTTGGCATGAGAGACCTGAGTGATGGACTTAGGCCTGGTTTATCACTGACCGCATATTCAGCTGAAGAAAATTTTTAGAATTTTGTATATAGTAACTATGGACACCCTGTATATCATTTAAAAGGTTTTCCTTTGTTGAACCCAATGTCAAAAATGCCATTAATAATATTTAATCATGAGCACCAGCCTGGAAGGCTACATTGTTTAAATTATTTTAATTTATATTCTAAGATAATCTTGGAAAAAACGTCCAGTCGGTTTAAGTGAAACTAAATTTTGAGAGCTCCTACAAAAACCTTTTCACACACGTTTGTCTTCGTCACACCTACAGTCATACGTTGTACCGAGGCCTATCTAATTGTTCTGCATTGTTTAAACTTTTTAATTTTCGAAGCGAATGTCCCCATGACATAATATTTTGACACCCTCACCCATGACTGCTCATTTTTGAACAAGGACTAAAAATAATGTTTGAGTCCTGGAAAGGACATCAGATCCAGATGAGGAACTAGAACTCTATAGAATCCATGCTAAACAAAAATAACTCATTAATAGTACACCTAATACAGAGTGAATTAAAAAAATATATACCCCTCGTATATATCCAAGTTTGATCGGTTTACCTTTTCCCGAAGACCACATGACACCATGAGCATATTGTTTTCCCTATTTCCACTTGGGAGTCTAGGAGATGGGTTCGAGATACGCGGATAGCCCGTGAGTCATGACGCAGACAGGAGCTGCTTTCTGATTGGCCGGCGACGGTCTGTCGCTAGACGCATGTTTGAATAGCAGCTCAGTGTGTAAGGCGTCTGTCATATTCCCAGAGTGAAGCAATGCTTCATCACTTTTTGTCTCAAACCAATCAATACAGCTGCAGTAATCCATGAAACGTTGCTGAAGTGTCTTGAAAAGTTCCTTGTTATACTCAAATAAATTTGAATGACCTTCAAGGCCTTTAGCAAGTAGTGAAGACTCTCAGATCCACCTCAACCCCAACCATTCACCCAAGGGATGGCTGAATCAGTCATTATTTTCAATGTCATTTCTACTGGCCGAAAGCCTTGAAAACTATTGAAGATTCTTGGAGTATGACGAGACAACTTGTCAAGACACTTCTTGCAACATTTGATGGATCGCTGCAGCTGTACTCCCGGATTGAGACAAAAAGTGATGAAGCATTGCTTCACTCTTGGAATATGACAGACGCCTTACGCACTGAGTTGTTAAATTGCCAGCCAAATTATCGTTCAAGATGCTAGTTAGATGAGGACTGATACGACACTGCCCAACAGTCTAATCTATCAATCCATCGAATGAAAATAATTTTTGTGATATTAACTGACTTACGAAAAATGTAGTCCTGGAACTTTATTGCCAGACCTCGTATTCCAGTAACAATGCCACATCTCGTTACATGGGCACGTCAGGAGATGTTTAAGAAATGCGAACGTAGTGCTATGCATATTACAATAATGTATTGCAGTAATAGTAGCTGACGTTCACCGAATGTCAAGACGGGGTCGATTTTTCCAAACCGGATCCAATCGGCCTGATTCGATTCTTGGTCGAATCGATACGAAACTCGATGACCGACCGAGCTTTTCAGGCCCGACCCTTTGATCGCGTCGGGTCGTTTGTGCCAACGCATAACCCGCTTATGCATCTACTCGTAGGCGTCAGAACCTGAGGTTTCAGCTTTCCGCTCGCACCCAGCCTGAAAATTGATTGACTACCTTGCTGACCCCCGATCCACAGGTCGGGTCGGTTTAATCGAGCCGATACGCATCCCGCACAGAGCTCGAGATCATTCCATAGTCATTGTCTGATTGATGGGCGTTCGAAACGATGAGTCTGACTTGAATGGTAGAGGCTCACTGAAAATGTGTATACAGGCTATTCAAGGTTCCCTCATGACGAAACGCAATATTGTCGATTCAAAGCGTGACTATTTGAAATGAGAACGTTGTGTCCTAGGAATGCGTTGAGGCAGAAATCACTGAAGAGGAATCGGAGGGCTCTGATACCTGTGTGTTCCAAATTCGTACGGTGAGTCTCATTTCCATACTATGAGACGGAACTCCCTGAAAAATAGGGTACAGGGAAGTTTCGGATCAAATTTATTGATCCGAAATATGACTACAACGCATCTCGATGACGCGATCATTTCCGTCACATGATGAGCGCGGGCTAAGTCTAACGCCTTTCGCTTGCTTCACACGCTTCAGATACCTGTATGGTTTTCCCTTGGGGTGAGCTTCTTAGAGATTGCATTCTACGCAGTCTCATGCACTCCAATCCAGAGATATGCATGGGTCTAGAGCAACGATAGTCATGTGAATAGAAGCAGGGAGAAGCTGACTGCAGTCTTTTATTTTTCTCATTCACTTCTGCATTTCTAACAAGACGAGTTCCACGTCCGCCTTGCCATGTCAATATACCTTGTATATAAGATTATGCAAAATTACTTAGTAAATTTTTAATGGACCCAAACTTCTGTCACCCAATTAGATTTTCGTATTCGATCCTAAAAACCGGAAAACTAAAATCCATTAATTTACCATGTAATTTTCCTCACGCTGTATATAAACCTCTTTAATGGTATGCCCGGGAATTCTCGGGATTCTCTCGTAGACTGTCAGAAAACCTGCCCCGAAGGGATTGAACCAAAAAAGTAAGGTATTGCATAAAATTCACTTTAAAACTTTTAAGCTTACTGCAGGCAGAGAAATTGCAAGTACGTATGTCGTTCTGCTTTAGGAATTTTCTCATTGAAGAACAGAGGCTTGGAAGAAGAAAGATTCGGACGAGTCGTAGTGAATGAGTCGTTTGCGTCAGGCAGATGAAGGAAACATGCGGATGAAGACCCGAACAACATAGACAGGGGCTGTCACGGACCTGGGCTGGAGACAGCTCGTGCACGTGTGTCTGTCTGTCTCTTTCCTTCTGCTAGCCTCCTTTGTTGGCAACGAAAATTCTTCCTCTAATCGCGCACCTCGAGATGGATGTTTGACGAAGTAGCGGCCCGTGGACCGTAACCTTAAGAGTTTGAAGTCGGCATGAATCCTGTAATGCAGACAATCCATATGTGGGTCCAGGTTTGAGATTGGAAAGAGGCTTCAGGAGACCGTTTAACTAACCTGTTCTCCCGTTTTCCCAAATACTGATGCTATTTTTAGGGAGCATTTTGAATTCATATTAGATCGAATTTCTTCTTTTCCCTGTTTGGTCGAATAGTAAATTCGATCAACTCGGGCACTAATTTATCCAGCAGCATGCTGGAAAGAGGAAGGAAATTGGAAAGAGCTAAGTGATACGTTTTCTGTGGTGTCGTTATAAGCCATCTCTTTTCACAATCATGGGCGATAATGGCGTGAAACTCCAAAAATTTCGCAACTTGATCAAGTTCACTCTAACCATCTTAGTTTCTATATTATATGGTTAGATATAAAACATAATTTTTCATATTTTAGACCTTTTTAAAGATATCTTAATCCAATTAACACAATGCAAAAGTCTGTATCTGATTCATGTAACAGAAGGAAACAAACATTTTGGCTTGAATAAGTTTTTAAGGGAATCTCGCCAGAGGATTTAAGGTACAAGATCTTGAGTTGAGCTGAGGACAGAGGAAGGTTGCAGAGATTGGAACGAGATAAAAGAAATATCTTGAATTGATTTTCTCTTAATCAATACATTTTCTCATAATCAATTCTCTACATGCATACCGATTTTTGTAAAAATCGGATATGGTTGAGCTCTCCTGGTCGATTTGGTGTGGGGTGACCCAAGAGTCAAGAAATGTTTCGCTAATTATGACTCTTTTTGGCCGTCCTTTCCGAAGTATCTTTCGCCCCACACTAATATTATACCAAACTGCTCAGGAGGAGCAGAAGAATCGATTGATACCTCATACGGCGCCAAAAAGTTGTAGGTGATTTTTGAATCACCCTGTATATTTCTAATTTGCGTCGGATTTTGTTGACATTAGTGTCACCTCATTCCTTCCCTTCTGTTCTCCATAGTGACTTTCACCTCTCTTTCAATGACACTTGTGCCTTGTGTCTGGGAATCTCAACCTTGGCCTATGCGCACTCCTCTCTTTTAGAGATGCATGCTTCTTAAGCAGACAATTTCATTCGAAAACTTTTCCGCATCCTTCAGTCTGCTGGGTCTCGTCCATTTAGTGGTTGAGACGAAGATTTTCAGTTCCAGGGCGTTCCATTTCTCTAACTTCACTTTACGCAAGAGAAGCAGTAGGTAGATATTCTTTTCCATGTGGATTAGTTTTCTCACTTTCAAGTTAAGGTATATTGACGGTGTCAGAAGATGACAAATATGCAAATTGTGTAAAATTGGACTAGCAGTAAACTGCTCTTCTCACTTAGTTCTACTTCACGAAACGTAATGCAGGAAACGCGCAGAGCGGAGGAAGGACTCGGTAATTCCCTTGAACACTTCATCAAATGCTTTCTTTCCAAAACAGAATAAAGAATGAAACATTTCTGTTTGCATGTGTGATTCCACCATAGCACTCGATGAAGATCGCGTAACTCGTGTAAATGTAAATGCAGGTATGCGTTAGCGTGTATTAATCCCAACGTGACAACGTGAACACCAACCGTATAATTCATCTGAAAATTCAATAGAGAGAAAAAGCGCTAATACCTGCTGAGGTTGAACATAACTTGCTTTTTTTTTGTAGGTGAGGTTGGGGGTACTATTATCGGTCAGGCCCTTCATAACTCTGGCAGCACTGTCTTTCGTCATGTCGTCAGTCATATACAGGGTGGGCCAAAAAAACCGCCCCAAATTTGAAGTTTAATTAAGTGGGCCCCGTTGGGACAATATCAATTGTTAAAAAAGCAAAATGAAGCTTCCTCAATTTTCTTTCGAACGATATAAAATTTTGGGGGGGTTGCTTCAGAGAAATGGCCGCTATTACAGTTTAAAAAAAAGTGACGAGACAATTTCCTGAAAACAGCTTTTCTGAGTTCTTTCCAATGTCGCGCTGCTGCTGTCGCCTGTTTCCCCCGCGCACGCCCTTCTCCCACGCGCCCCTGCATGATACGGATTGGTTGATGAGAGATCATGCGATCATGAGTCGAGTAACATGAGGCTGTTGTAAATTGTGGAGGAGGGCACATTGAACCATTTTTGTGTCATTAAATCTGTGTGCGTGTAAGTGATCAATTCGAGGTTGAGGAAAAGGAACTTGGAGTAAAAGCCCATTTCAGGAAAAATTTATTTTCTCTTTTTTTAAAACTGTAATAGCGTCCATTTCTCAGAAGCACACCCCCCAAAATTTTATATCATTCGAAGGAAAATTGAACAAGCTTCATTTTGCCTTTGATATTGTTGAGCCAATTGATATTGGCTCAACGGGGCCCAAGTTATTGAACTTCGCATTTGGGGCTTTTTTTGGCCCAACCTGTACAATGTTCTTGCCGTGGCACCAGAAACATGAAGTTGAAAAAGAGTGATTCCCGCCAAAATCGCGGAGTGTGCGGAAGCTGTTCTTCAGTCTATGGTTTTTTCCCCCACTTATTGACGTAACGACATCTCGAGTATTTGCCATTAGTTTCTTTTGCTGAAATTTCTTGATTCTTTCCGAGATCGGATTTGGTGGAATGTTGGCTCAATATTTGCACTTGTGAACTAAAATTACAGATTATTTTTCCTATAATCCCGCGTTCAGGTTAACCCTTTCAGACCTGAATTAAGGCCGCTATCGGATTAATATTTTTTGTTGTTGCTTTTTTGAGCTCTTTTGTGATTGTAATTGAAATTTTCATGCGTTATATGTTGTTTTCATATTTTGTAGAAATGTACCATATCATACCATATATCATGTATTATACATTTAATTAAATAACTGAAGATTACAAAACTAATGGGTGAAAGAAGGCATCTGAAGGAACAGAGCCATGCATAATTGCGCCCATTGTTGCGTAATATGGAGCGCAAAGTTTCGAGAATCCTAAGATATTTCCATAGACACAATGTAAATGCAATGTCCATTGGGATGGACGCCAGGTCTGAAAGGGTTAATGGCATGCGCTAGGGCACCATGGGTTGCTCTATTCGAGGCACAATTGGCCGCGACACGAGATGTCCCCAAAGATATCTGAGATTTGCTAATGCAGATCATGATGTCTCTGCAGTCTTTTTGCGTCCTGCTCATGCGCAATCATAAGCGTAAGGTTCAATACCGACAGATGAGACATTCTCAACCTTGAAACGGATCGTAGAGTGAAGCGAATTCTCAATAAAGCCAACATGAGAGCTAGGAATTCCATAGAAGATGCTCCGTTGAAATGCTGCCAAGTAGAGCGAGAACTGGCAGCCGAGGAAAGAATTCCAGACCTACTTAAGTCATCAAAAGAGGTCCTCTTTCAGCACTTCAAATTCTGCTCGCACATGTTGCATGGGCTGACCTTAATCCAGTATAGACACCTTCCGTATAGTTCTGCATGCTCCCGTATGTTCCATATGCTTCATAGGAATAACAATGCTTCAGTTGTGAACTGACGAAAAAGTGACCCACCCTCACCTACACAAGCGTTAGCTTTTGAATAAATGTATGCGTAAGGAAATTACTATTCTGGATCTTGACCATTTCCGTTGAAGATTGTCGGCCTCATATTCTTCTGTGACGAGCATTCAGTCATCTCACATCAATATTATGCCACTCTAAGTATATCGATATTCACAATATTGCCCCATCGCTTCCATATTACTGGAACAGTCACTCTTTTGATTCGGATTATTCAATATCCCTTAATTGCGGCCTCAAAATGTCACCCCTGGAAAGTTTAAGTCTAAAATCCTGTTTGCGATAAAACATTTGTGTGCATCGTGAGAAAGTAGGCCCTTCAACTTATCTAGTCATGGCGATTAAGTTGAAAGGTCAGAATCACGAGTCCTTCTTGGTGTCGACCTTTGGTTTCCTCAGATAGGAGTCTCGGAAGAAGGCTACGAAGAGAGCCAAATAAGAGATGTACATGAGGACTGACAAGAGAGCATTATAGGGAGTGACATGGCACGAGATGCCAAGGAGCTTGAAGAATCCTGCCGAGAGGCTGAGTGCCAAACCCATTACCATCTGGAGGATCTGTAAGACAGTGATGAACATGGCCACCCCTCTCCCCACATTAATTCCGAGGGTCCTACTTGCGAAATACGAGTACATGATGGAATGCACCACCAGATTCATGGAACAGAACCAAAGTCCTGTCGATGCGTGCTCGGATTGAGATTGCCAGCAGAAGATGAGAACCGTGATGTGATGATACCAATGCAGGAACCTCAAGGGCTGCTTCTTGAGAAGGAGGAATACCGTATCGCCCAATTCTAGCACTTTGGAGAGGGCGAAGAGGAAATGCCAGTAGCTCGTTTCACGATTTTCGTCATAGAACCTGTAAAGATGCAAGCGTTCGGATGAAATTTATTTTCAAGGTTGTATCCAATATGGGAAAGTGCTAATGTCACTTTTAGGTACCGTTTCCAGGGTTTAATGTGGATGATGGAAGTGTTGATACCGTGGTGGCCTTTCATTTAATGTAGGAACTTCATGAATCTCTACCTTTTATGTTCCATAGATGAGTCCGCAACTCTCTGAGAATGAGTTTACGTATGAATCGAAATACATGGTATTCGCGAAATTAAATAGCTTTCAGCATCTAACCATTTAAAAATTTTCATTGTTCAGTTGCTAAGTTCAGCTACTGTACTGTCCGACGTTGCTTGGAAGCTCTGTAGCTGAGGTATTCATCGCGAGGCCAGGAGTGGCGTGACTTCAATTATATAGAATGACTCAGTGAAATATTCCAGGATTTTCTTGCGTTCACCTTTTCTGTCTAATTCAAATTATCCTTACAAAGCCTTCCATTTAATATTATTTTCTTTATTTTCTTTAAATTCATTCATCTCAATGCCCCTCTTTTCGTGCGACTTCAACAAAGCCACTGTGTAACAAAGTTTTCTGTCATCTGCTCTAAATAAACAAGTATTGCGTACCAAACAATTCCATCTGCCTGTAACTGCAGTGTTCGTTAGTGCGCGGGGTCGGATCATGAATGGCTGCATCTCCTTCATTCTCCGTGAATCACTTCACGCTCAACTTCAAATTGTTAACTCCCACATTCTCCACATATTATATCTGGCCCAAAATTGGAAAAAAATTCCCACAATCAAAAACATAAATTGTTCTCTAGTTGTGTGGGGGAAGGCCGAAGACGAGCAGACCCCAACACTTTCTGGGATGATTTTTATTTTTAATTTGAGATCCTCCAGTTAAAGGAAGAGTCAGGACCTCTTTCACGCTCGTCCCATCAGACCATATGACTTCGTTTCCATTCTATTTATCGGTCGAGGCCAACATTTTTTTTGTATTGTGCATCACAGGGACATTAATGGGCCGGATAGTTTTTTATTTTTAAGGGAAGTTTGCGAGAAAGCCAGTTATAGTTGTGAACTGTAAAGGATGAAGGTTAGTAAGACACACTTCCCTACCCGATCTTCATGAAAAGTCAAATTCCTCGTTTTTCAAGGAAATCCGTATCATACAATGAAGGGACATCTCACTCATGGTGCCCATGATTGCTTTTCTCCTAGTCGAGTGATTTTTTTAAATAGTGCTTCGAATTGATGCATCTCAAAGACCTCCTCATTTCACATCCTCACGTGGATATTGAGTATAGATGTAGATGCAACAAATTTGGCCTGAAAACTCACGTGAAATTACTCGAAAGAAATATTCAGCACTTTCAGTGATTATCCAAAGATGTCCCTTTTTCAGGGCATCTGTGATCTTATGGAAAACCTGGGTATACATTTTTCAGCGCCCTTTTCTCCAAACGTACCGGCTCACACCCCTAATTTAATTTCTAGTCTTGCCACCTTTCCTCTCTTATGAAGTTCTCCCTCACAACTTCTTGTCATCGCCAAAGATGCATATGATTTGAAACGTAATTTACCTGAGGAGTACTGAGGGCGTCTCTTTTGCGTGACTTCCCAGGTAAAGTAATAAATATGGTGCGTTCCAAAGCGCATACCCTTAATCCTTATTTCCTTTTAATGTTAACATGATTCTTCGTCTTCCTTTCACTCCTTGTCTCGAAAACAATACACATCCATAGTCTGATCCACCTTAAGTTAAGTGAACCTGAGCTTTTCAATACTTGGAAGGATTTCTTTCCAAATCCATCCTAGATTAGAGATGGAGGAATCAGAGTGGTTTGTTCTATCACAAAACGATCGCGCTCCTACTGACCTGAGGTACTCAGAGATAACTGGGGTTATGAGCTTTAAGTGTGAGGAGGCCCTCCACCGTTCATGCTTCGATATGAACGAAGAATGCATTGCACGAAATTTGCTGGATTTACAATGGAATGTAGTCGTTCACGACTTTACTCACGAAGAAGAGCAGACGCTATAGTAGAATCCCTTCTCCGACGTGGCATAGAAGAGCCAGGGGGGTATTTTCGTGGCTCCAATAATACTGAAGACGGCGAGGCCGATATTCCAGAGGACAAGAGGTCCTTTGCATGTCAGCTTCTCCTTATTCTCCCTGTATCGCTTCAAGACGACGATGCCTACGAGGTACAGGATCACAAATGCGGCACAATTTTTCATCCAATTCGCCTCCATCCACGCCTTGGTTGCCTGAATGTCATAATCGTAGTCCTTGGGGAATTCTCCACGATTTTCAGTGAGGAAGGCCTGAGGATCCATGTCGACGTGTCTCCTCGTGCGTGATGGAGGCTATAACTGTAGGATCAAGGTTCAATAGGTTCAGCGGGACGAGAAGCTTATTACCACGTATTGACTACGAATGTCAAAGTTGAGAGCTCATCGATGATACGAGCTATGATAGGCTTATACCATACCAAATATAATTTTTTGTTAAAGCCGTGTCATCCGACTGAAAAATAAATGCTTACAGCTAAGTCACTACAAGATCATCACTTAACTCTTTTCACGTACGCACTGCCCGACTAAAATAAAAAGCAAATTAATTGCCTCAAGGTATAGCATGAGACTTTCGTAACTGGAACCAGCTGTTTCTCGTACTCTTGTTGCCATAAAGTTCGGAAAACTATCGTGCTCCACATGACCAAAGTTCCGAGGCATCAAGGTCCCTGAGGCTCCGAAGCATACGAGAGGGAACGAAAGTCACTGGGAAAATTTAAATTGTAAAATATTGACAAATATATCTTAAAAGTGTAATACAGCATTGTCTTTTTGAATTAATTCTTGAACTTGAATGAAATTTCCCTCAACGATGAACAAGTTCCAAAAAGCAGTCCCGAAAGAAAATTTGTGACTGGCGACTTCATAAATTCCGTCTTACACTCTTAGAAAATTCCGAGCGTTTTGGGAGGAAAAAGTGAGCACTATGTGAGCTGTTGAATCCCACTGTCTTATTACTCACCAAATGCTCCCTCATCGCTCGTATTGAAGTGAACATCTTCAAGTTCTTCGTTAGGCCACTAGATGGTGATAAGAGTCTCATTTTCCGCAGAGTACACAAAAGTTCCTTTCCCTCTTTCCCTGGAGGCGTCCCTCGGAGGATTGTGTAGTACCTCGCCATATGTCTCGCCAAGTCTCATTTTATGAATCAATAAACACGGACACTTCATTTGATATCCACACATTCAAGACAGATTCGTAGAGCCCAGGCCATAATGAAGCTCATGTATCTGATGAGAACCCTTTTGAAATTCGGAATGGTTTCATACGCTGAGAACTGTAATACATAGCGGCGTCCGTGAACTTAAGTCTACCATTTCTTCAGCTTGATGAGAGAATGATGAAAAGAAGTACTGATATCGCGGATACTTCGTGGAACCGTTAGAGGTTGTCCATCCTCTGACATGTACTGTAATCAGTACAGTCAGAGGTAGGTCAACGCCTGTACCGTTTTATGTTTCCTACCTATCTCTATCTATTCTTTGGACCTTGAGGTCCAAAAAAAAGAGAGCGAAAGCGATAGAAAGTATAAGGTAATTTGGGGGAATATGGCCCAACAAAATGAAACTTGGTCATCACGGTCCATCAAGGTCGAATTGGACTTTTACAATGTTTTTGAAATATTTATTGATATCTCCTTTACTACGACGCAGCATGTCATATACAAAAAAAACATGGATATGGCGCCTTTATCAAGTTGATCCCAAGAAGCCATAGTCCTAGTTGTAATCCTACTAAACTTCCCTCCCAAAGGGCAGAAAGGGCACTTTGAGAAACTTTTTTTTTTTAGCTGAGTGAAAATTGCTTCCATAATGGAAGTATGCCGCGTATGTAGTTATGCAAATCCTTCGCCGACTGCTTTGCTTTTCTTCCTGTCATCGGTAATTACCTTATAACCTGAATCTCCCTCTGTAACCACTTCTTCAGCAGGACTCAGTAGTGTTAGTACAGAGGATTGCTGCTGAAACACAGGACCTTGAATCTCCAAAAGTAACTCTGAATAGGTAAGTGCTTACCAATTATTGAGGTTACGCCAAGGCCTACCTTTTTTCTTTTAATAAAAACTCTATTATCGACCGACGGGGCCAATTAGGACAATGAGGACGTGTAACGTTAGACCGATTTCAGGTCTGTTTCGCGTTTCATGAACCACTTCAGTGGGACGTGGAACGTTATGCCTTTCTGGAGTTCCTCCAGCCAGCTCGAATAGGTCTGAGAAGTGAGTGCCTCCAGGAAGCATGCAATCCATGGCGCGCGCCATCCTGGTAATTCAGGGATAACCGGATAAGATGTCCCTCCTTATCCCACAAAATATCGATCAATCGCTGCTAACCACCGTTTCATTCTCAGCTCATCTCCTGATCTGAGCAAAAAAATTGCTTTGCACATAAAAAAAGTGTCAGACGCCGATACGAAGTTTGAAGTAGTGTTGAATCTGGCATAATTTCAGCACATCCGGCAACACTGGGGGATGGTACCGGAGCTATCGCTCTAAGCCTAATTGAACGACAGCTAATTTCACTTTTCATGGCGAAATGGTACATCGCAAACAACAAAAGGCCACTTTTCGTCGTCAATATCTTTCTCATGGTTAGTCTCTTTCCTCCGAAAGCTTTCCAGGAGTGGCTACCCAAAAGGGGTGGAGGGGAAAGAAAAAGGAAAAAAAAAATGAAATTCGCATCTTCCAAAAGCGTAATTCAGTGTTCTCCACAACCCCGGTGAGGTGGAGCTTCAAATTTGCTGGAGCTATTCTCTGTTCAGAGAGGAAGAAGCATGCCAAATTTCGTTGCTGCTGATGATCTTAAACAGGAATACGAGGAGGTTGAATTTTGCCGAAGCTCGACAAAACGAAGAAAACTGAAACCTCGAATGTACCAGTATCTCGAATGCACTTAAAGAAAGAACCGACAAAATTCGAATCGCCAAAAAGTCGAATAACACTTTTATTTATTTTTTGTTCAGGTGAAAGCAAAAGGAGGGGTTTAAAACTCTAGATTATGCTCAATACTTCTGAGATAGTCCAGCACACATAGTGCATAGTCGTTGCAAACTTCCTGAATCCTGCAGTCGCTCTTCCGTCTTCGCCTCGGTTCATGGCCCATGAAAAGTCGTTCTCTTTCCCGGTCCGACACGCTCTGCTCTTGGCGGAGGATTTCCAAGAAGGTCCACAAATTTGGATGCTTCGATGGCAGGAGTGATGAGAACCTGTGATTCCAACCTTCAACCGAATTGTTCATTCGAGGATCTTTGCTTTTCAGAGCCTTGTAGGCATTCCACATGCCGAATGGGAAAAGCGGAATGCGAGGACAGCCTCGCATGCGCCTACCATCAATGTAAAATTCTCGGAAATGATTTGCAATCTCCTTTCTAATCTCCTTTCTATATTCAGGAATAGGCGGGAGAAGAGAATTATAGGTACGAGGATGTCCTAAATGAGTACAAAGGCCAACGCAACAATCATGAGCATGGAAAGAGAAAAATCCTAGTAATTTAAAATGGATTTGACATTGAAAGGAGAAAGGAGAAATGGCCGTGGGCAGCAGTCTCGGTCGGGGCGTGTAGGTTCTACGTTTTCGGTCTTTTTCCACCTTCTGTTACATTCGAGGTTTTGTCCCCTTCGACGTTTCGTATCATTCGCCGTTATGTTACATTCTCCGTTTCAGTTTCTTCGAGGTTTCGATTTTCGGGGTTTCGTTATAGATCGGAATTTTGCTACGGGAAGGGGTTGAAGAAAGGTAAAAGGCACTACCGCGCCTATTGATTGTTATTGAACGGTGGGGAGTAGGGCTGTACGGTATTAGAAAAACCTGGAACCGCGCTATCGAATCATTGATACCGTGGTACTTCGAGAAATCCGACTTTCCTCTTGAGAAAAGGAGGCAATGAAAGGAGGAGACACTTATAATTTCGTGTCGCCAAGGTCAGTTTGATTTTTCAGGCGCAATTGATGAACGCGGTACAAGGTGTCGTCCTCCCCATCCCATCACCCACTTTCTGATCCACTGAAGGGAATGGGTACCGGCAGCCAAGAGGCATTGAGGCTCTCGAGCCTCGATGCCCCTTGCAAAAAATTATCTTGACCTCTCGAAGTCAAGATAATTTTTTTCCCGGATGCACTTCTGTTCTTTCCTTGAGAAAAATAATTATGAATCACTCGTTGCTCTAGGGGGAATAGGGAACTCTTAAACTCAATTATCTCTATTCCTGTTTGCTTGTGTGTCTGTTTCGCTTTCGACGGAAATGCTGTTCCTTTTCCCATTCTATCCTAGCTCTGAGAAATCGTCCTGTTCAGTTCTGTCCTTGTGGTAGCAGAGAACCGACAACGACCAAGCTTTCTATGGTATCTTAGGTACAGTTTCCTTACTGTTCTTCAATAACTTCAGTCTTTCAATATCTGTGGCATCACGCGCACGGTAACACGAACTGCATTTTCTGCACCGGATTTTAAAAAGAACCGCATGGTCCTATTAAAGGTTTATCGTCCTCGGCTTGCAGCCTATAGTAAATATTTGACAAAGTCTTCACGATTCCCCCGTTTAGCGCATGAAGGGTCAATTATCTCAGTTCCTTGAAGTGAGATTCTCCCTTCCGCAAACACCTGTCATCTCACGCATGTCTCTAACGTGTCCCACTCGCGCTCTCAACCCTCTTTGCGATGAAGGCCAACTCCTTCATGTCAAACTCCTTGCTCAATCTCTGAACTCCATTGAGTCTATTAGTTTCTCCTTTTACCTTTGAGTTCTTTCAATCTACGAGTCTGATCGTCATGAGTCTGACGTGACTGGGGAGTCACGTCATAACTCGTTACTTGAAAATAAATAATATGAACGATCAATTTCTTTCTCTTGGTGGGTTCCACCTTTGGAAGGGACTGCCAGGTAGGACATCCCCTAACATAAATAAGAACCCATCGGAAGCGTATATCCAGGGGTATTCAACTGGCGGTTCACGGACCGGATCCGACCCGCCAATTCATTTTCTCCCACCCGCGAATCCCTCTTAAACAGTTGATTTTGGAAAATTGCCGCAAATTTCACTTGTTCGCGTTAAACATGTGGTGTTGGTGGTGTGAGATTCGTTAGTGAGGCTCCCAAACACATCCGAACCAAATCATTTGATCCCCGCAAAATTGAGTTGGACACCCCTGGTATATACGAACCTTCAAGTGTTCTCGACTCAATGATCCCGGTTGCTCTAATCTACTTGGTACCTATCGGCCTAGCAGATAACTTCCTCCACCGGATCATTGAGGTCAGAGATACAGGGCTGCCAAATTTTGCAATTTATCTCCAATGCAGTGATTTCTTTAAGGAGG